CTGAATAATTTTGATTGATATGTTTCTTGTTGCCATTGTTCTGTATTGTATTTGTAATTTGTGTGCACTTTGAAATGGCTTGCAATTGTATGTCAGAGTACAGTGTTGTAGCCGGTGTAGTAACACGAGGAGATGGAACACATGAATCATGATGGCATAACCAAATGCATTAACTGGTAAGACAGTTGTAAGTACTGCTGTCTGACCCAATAACATTGAGGCTTCTTTGTAAGTTATCCTGTCTAACTAAACCATCTGATTCACAGACTCGTTACTGTCCCCGACGAGCGAGCAGTATGCCATTTACATCCTGCCGCATTCTGAAGACCACAACGACGTCCACAAACGACAGGCTCTCTACCAGAGCAGTGAGGACGACTCCCAAGACGAGCCTCTTCCCGAGCCAGAGCCCACCAAGAAACATCATGACTCCGGCAACGAATCGGAGGAATCTGCCGTTCGGAACAACACAGCAGATGGACTGGCCCGCGACCCCAGGAAGATCTCTCACCCAGTCTCCCTGCCTAGCTACGACTCCGAGGAGCTGGAAGATAAGATAGAGTCCTACGCCATTTTTCCAAAGAAGGGCACTTCAGGCAGACAACGCCCCGTTTCCAACCATCGCCCTACACCCTCACCTGTCCCTACACCCACCACCACTTCCGCCGCCTCATTAGCGGCTTCACCTATCACCTGGGACGAGTCAGAAGAGACAGACTACACATTCGGCACCAAATATAAGAAAATGACTAACTCTAAAAAGCTTCTGACCATGCCCAAGAAAACGATGAAGGTGAGCTTAAGTAATCTAGGTTTAACTTGGTTAGGTGGTGTATTTTTATACTGTAACTAAATGTACAAGGAATAATGCATAGTATACGTCATGTGTAGGCTACCTTTGTCCCCCTCTCACACCCCTAGTGTCTCCCTTTCTTTCATTAGCTTCAACCTATTCGTGAAAGCAATTATAAACTTACCTGGCGTATTCGTTTTAGGTGATCAAGCTGTCATCGGAAGGAGAGTTCGTACCACAGGAAGTTCCAGGAGTGATGTTGCCTACTGAAGACGGCAGTGAGGAGGCCTTCGTGCCTGCTGACCTGCTGGAGGACACAGAGACCCTACTGACGGAGGCGTCGGCCCAACAGCCCTCCTTCCTGCCCCCTCAGCAGACACCATACCAATCTCCGGTACGTTATGTTCAAGATATATCACAATTGATGATAGTGATGGGATGAGGCACACGTGTCTATACACTTACTGTAGTGTCGGGTTGTGACTCTGGTGTTTCATACTAGTCAAGGCATACCTGCACTGTGTCGTTGATCAGTTCAAGTACTAAAAGATGTGGCATTCTAATCCAAATTCAGTATATGTATATATCGACTCCTGGCTTTTCAAATTAATCACAACGATTACGTTTGAGGGTTTCTCAAAAAAGTGCTTACTCACTTTTTAGTTTCGAAGAAACTAAACTTTCAACCCGTCCTCGACTCAAGTCCATTACATCCAGCGGTCAACCCCACAGACGCATTCATAAATTTTAACATGCTGTTCATTCAAAATGGGAATTTTCTCAAGTATAAATTAATATTATAATATATTAGCATATTGTGTATAAATAGGTATAGGTTAGGTTAGGTCAGGTGTTTAGGTTCTGTTGGCGATTATTTGTATTTGTAGTACGTGGGTGAAGCATTTACAGCGTTGTGGTTCGAACAAAATTCGTCAGTGAAGCACTTGTTCCGGATATGTTCGAACGTCAGCAGTTGTGAGTCGTGTGTAAACCGCTTTTCATTCATAAACAGGGGGTTTGGCGGGTGCATGGAATCACTTTTGGATCTTTGTTTGGAGGACGGGCTGTTCGCTGACAACCTCTGTTCGAACCACAACGCTACAAATGCTCCCATATACTTTAAATACAAATAATCGTCAACAAAACTTAAACACTAACCTATCCTACGCCTAACTTTATAGAAATTTTTGTATATAATATTAACTTATATAAGATAATAAACCAATTTTGAATGCACAATATGTAGAAATTGATGAACGCAAATTAAGTGGCATGGGAGGGGGGGGGGGAACTGCCACTCTAACGAGGCTGGCCTGAGGATGGGTTGATCACAGATACTAAATATAAGAATGTTAATTTAATTTGTTTAGAGTTCGAGTCCAATACTTCCATTAATTTGTTCCCATAACCCCCGTAAGAGGCATAGATACCCCGGTTAAGAACCTCTTTCCTATTGTGAATCAAATTTATATTAATCCCTTTTACGGTAGTTATTGTCCAGATTTCTCATCGCAAGAATTCATTTTACCCAATCCTCCTCCCTCAGGCACCGGCAAAGGGAATGCCTTACCGCTTTGGGTACATTGTTGACGATGAGGCCACTGCCAACTTCCAGACGCGCCAGGAGCAGGGCGACGACCAGGGTGTGGTCACCGGCTGCTACCAGGTGAGTAGAGGTACCAGGTGTGACAACATAGGTAAAGCCAAGGATGTAGGGAAGGTTAGTGAGTTCAGGTGTGTAGTGACATCGCTGGTGCGGTGATTGCATATAATGTATGATATATATATATATATATATATATATATATATATATATATATATATATATATATATATATATATATATATATATATATATATATGTCGTACCTAGTAGCCAGAACTCACTTCTCAGCCTACTATTCAAGGCCCGATTTGCCTAATAAGCCAAGTTTTCCTGAATTAATATATTTACTATAATTTTTTTCTTATGAAATGATAAAGCTACCCTTTTCACTATGTATGAGGTCAATTTTTTTTATTGGAGTTTAAATTAACGTAGATATATGACCGAACCTAACCAACCCTACCTAACCTAACCTAACCTATATATATAGGTAAGGTTAGGTTAGGTAGCCAAAAAAAGCTAGGTTAGGTTAGGTTAGGTAGGTTAGGCAGACGAAAAAACATTAATTCATGAAAACTTGGCTTATTAGGCAAATCGGGCCCTGCATAGTAGGCTGAGAAATGCGTTCTGGCTACTAGGTACGACATATATATATATATATATATATATATATATATATATATATAATATATATATATATATATATATATATATATACATATATGTCGTACCTAGTAGCCAGAACGCACTTCTCAGCCTACTATTCAAGGCCCGTTTTGCCTAATAAGCCAAGTTTTCATGAATTAATTGTTTTTCGACTACCTAACCTACCTAACCTAACCTAACCTAACTTTTTCGGCTACCTAACCTAACCTAACCTATAAATATAGGTTAGGTAGGGAGGTTAGGTTCGGTCATATATCTACGTTAATTTTAACTCAATTAAAAACTCGTTAACTCGTTAACTCGTTAACTCGTTAACTTTAACTCAATTAAAAAAAAAATTGACCTCATACATAATGAAATGGGTAGCTTGATCATTTCATAAGAAAAAAATTAGAGTAAATATATTAATTCAGGAAAACTTGGCTTATTAGGCAAATCGGGCCTTGCATAGTATGCCGAGAAGTGTATTCTGGCTACTAGGTACGACATTATATATATATATATATATATATATATATATATATATATATATATATATATATATATATATATATATATATAAAGTTTAATTAAATACACGGACTTACTCTCACGTCAGTTTACCCTAAAATAGTGCAGAAGGCTCTTCCATGCAGCCCATTCTCCGAATAGACAGTACGTTTTAATACTAAATGTAATAAGCACAATCCTGACTATTGGCATATTACGTAAATGCACTTAATCGCCAGCATCGCACCAAAATATTGTGAATATTAGAGTTTACCTGAAAAGTTGTGTAGAAAACCAAGACCTAACCTAACCTTGGGAGTGTAGGAGGACAAGCATGTAAATAGCATTTATTGCTTCTTAATTACAATTAGTACTTAACCTATAGCTATATTGATATTGCAATTTTATAAAACTAAAGTCTTTCAATAAATTATAAAGTAATTTAGGATATTTTCAAATTTTGAATAAAATCTATTATTTAATAAAACTGAAAAAGAAATTGTTTATATTTAAAACTTGTGTATATAGAATTGAGCACGAAAACTTCAATCTAAAATTGTTTAGTGTATTAACAGAAAATGAGAATATATGGGGAGGTAAATGTAATGGCACAATTAAGTGTATTCGTGTACTATGCAGACAGTAAGGAATGTATTTATTACATTTAATATTAAAACGTACTGTCTTTTTGGAGGAAGGGTTGTTCCATGGTAACTAGTTGGAATATAAGTCCACAGTCTGGCTGCTGCCGGCCCGGCGCCCCCAGTGAAACGTCACAAAATATCCTGCTATCCAGAAGATTTGACGAGACAGCCTAACCAGGCGCACTGGATAAGTAAAAGGGGATTAACAACAATTGTTTATTCATCCACCCGCACCCTTGTAACACCCTTCAGGTTGATGAAAGTTACTTTACTGTCCTCTACTCCCCTTGTAACAAGAGCATGGACTCACATAAGGCAATTAAACAATATACACTCCACAGGTAAACATGTACACTCCCATAAACTGTATCCTCTTGCAGAGACCTTGATGTAACACTAAAGGGGTTTACAAGTAGCATTTGAAGTAAGGACAACTAATTATATTTAAAAACGATAGCAGGACTTAACCAAAACAGGACTTACTGATATTTTAGGTTGCAGCTCAAGGCGTACACCTACTCCGTAACCCCTCTCAACACCAATTAAATTCTCCCCTGTCTGCTGTCAGCGTTACACAAAAACTATCGTACTGCATACGTCCTATCCTCTTAAGTCAACTTTGCCAATTATAACATAAATACCACATAAATTAATAATCCTACTGCTATGTAATATTTAATTAATTCATAAGTACAAAGTCTAAAACATAGCCAGTAGTTCACGGATTCACAAATAATTGTGTCCCCGGCAGCGCAGTAACACCCAAAAGTCGCTCAACGGAATAATAATTCTGTACTCTCTTTGCTTTACTCTCCCAACGCCTTGTTTTATTACAACTAGACTACCCTGGCCGTAACAAGAGATGACCAGGGGTGTAAGGTAGACCATAGGTGTTGGGAGAACCATGTGTGAGACCAGGAGAGGTCAGGGGTGTGAGAGAGGCTAAATATGTGTTTCGAGAATTATAAATGTCATATAGGGAGAGGCAAAGTATGTGAAAATAATTACTATATATGTATAGATGATTGTCAGATGTATGTTTGTGGAAGATAGTGAACGCTGGAGGACAGATATAAGTAATTATCAAAAGGCACCAAGCCGAGGAGACTGTAGCACCAGATGTGTGTAAGTGGTGGCCAGGTATGTAGACAAGGAGTACAAGTGTGTTCACTTATTTCCTAGATGTTGAAAACTGGACATGTAAGTGGGCACCAGGTGTGTAGGTGGAAGTCATGTTTGTATGTGGTGGACAGGTTTAATTTCCAGATATATTTATGTATTCATAAGTGCATGTGGACATTTATGTGTATTAGGCTGCCATGTTTATCCTGTTACTTGTCAGTTGGGTGTTGGTAGTAGTCAGGAGCTGTTTGTTGACGTGTTTGTATAAGGGTCGACCAAGTCAGGTCATGTTTTCTGATATATTCACAATTATAATATTTTTCAGACATACATATGTCTGGAAATTAAACTATTGAAATTATTGTGATTTTTAACAAAGATATCAGAGCTCAAATTTTCAGAGAAGTTGAACTCCCTCACCTAAATTATTTTTCTACTGGGATGGAGGATGGGGGATGGAGGGTGGGGGATGGGGGATCTATTTCATCTTCCACGTCCAAACAACTGAGAGTATCAGTGACATAGATAGCTGAAATATATAGTTGCTGTGTATGTCTTAGGTCTGGTATGCGCAGGGCTATTTAGTCGGTATAATGCAAAACAGACATTTTAACGGTACTTCTGAAGCTCGGTATATAATTTTAGCCTTGCTCGGCTTTGAATCAAAACTATATTTCCACCTTTGCCTCATCAAAAATATTATAATCCAGCCCTAACTAGGAGTCAGATACACGACAGTGTTTACCGGTCACCAATTAGTTGCTCCAAACACTAATTGTTACTGTTTTCTAATTGTGTGCTGCGCAGGTGCTGGAACCTACTGGGCTGGTGAGGACCGTCACTTACCAAGCGGACGAAGGAGGCTTCAGGGTGCTCTCCCTCACCCGAGGACCCGACAAGACTCCTTGCCCTGGTTAGTATTGTTCTCTATATGTTGTGTGATGTCCCGGACCTTACCCTGAGCGATCGGTGGGCGAGTCTCAGGTCCACCTTATCTCACACACTAAGTGAAGCTAGGCTTTTGAAGGAGGCTGCGCTTGTTTAGGAAAGAAAGACTCTCGCCAGATGATAATAGGAAGGAGAAGGGCATTGTTCTCCTGGGAAACTCACGGGCGAACCTTTAATCTTACACGATAGGTGATACCAGGCAGGTTTGGAAAGGATGCAGGAGTGGATAGACATACAGAAGGCTGACAGATATTAGATAGGTGTCTAACATCACTGTTATTCGATAGAAGCTCTTAGGTAAATGTCAGGCGATGCTATGTGGGGGGGGGGGGAAAGGAGGGAGCGGTATCCTTAAAAGCTCATAGTGTACAAGCTAAGTGATACTTGGGCTCTCAACACAGGAGCCATTTTTAGCTAGCAGACTAATGGGACGTCGAAGGAAGAGCTTATCGAAGTAACATTCATGTCACCAAGACATAAACACTTCAGGTGTGGTACTTACCAAACATTATGGTTATACCGTAGGATTCACTCCAGTTAGTGCACTAATTATCATAATAGTTAAACGCCATTATGCTACGAAATTGTCGGCAGATATCTTGTTTTGTTAAGAGCTTTAGGTATAATGTTAGAGATGGACATAATTATGATAGAGCATATAAGCTGGTAGATAGCGTGAGACGCCGTATGGTCTCCAGGCGGGTGGGCCCCAAGACGAGAGTGGGTGACGGGGAGACTAACCTAAGATATATAAAATGTTTGTTCCATGTCAGCAGCTAGCAGCCACCCCAACAGTGCCCACAGCCCTGAACCCTGCACGACGGCCAGCCTCGCCCCACCTCACACATGGTCTCGTGTTGACTGGCCCCTCGGCACACCGCTCACACCAGCTGCCGAGGAGCGCCTGACAACACCGGTCACTATGGTATACTTGCCGCCCGACAACTACTACTCCTACAGTGTTGAAATAATCAGTTCCATTACGTCACTTGCTTGAGCCACTTCATCATTGTCTAAGATCAAACAACCGTAGTAAATAACAATTAAAAACACAAATTACGAACATTTAATAGTTTTTTAAACGATTTAATATCTTTAATAATTAATGCTTTAGGAGGTCAGAGAACATCCGCCATTTGACATGGGGCGTGATGACAGGTCGAGATAATGACTTCATAAAGCATAACTGTTGAATTACCAGATTTGTGCATTTTGTTTATTATTTACTTGGGGTTGACGGAGTGAGTAGTTGAGAGGGCGCAAGTAGCGAGGCTGGCGACGGATGGAGGTGACCGCGGCACCGTACCCGACCCCCTCCAGGGAACAGCCGACGGCCCCCTCGACGACCCTTCCAGCAGCACAGCCGACGATCACGACGGACGACCACCTCTCGACTCACAACGACCTGGCAGTAACCCATCCCTAAACCCCCTGAAACAGGTCACAGACATCCATGGCCCACCGGGGGTTCCCTGGATTATTGAGAGCCAGAAATAATTGGTTCTGCGGGGAGCAGCCAGAACCAGAGCTCGTAGTTGTTGACATTCTTGCTAGGAGCTAAAGTTATCTGACTCCCAGATCCTTGCTGCCAAATAATTAGTTCTGCGAGGTCAGAGGTTGCTAACGTAACTTTTTCCATACTCCAACAAGAGATCTATTAAGTTTATAATAATTATTAAAGAAAAAGCAGCTTATGCAAAACCTTATACAAAATCCTAACCATTTAGAAATCCATTTAGAAATTAAAGAAAAATTACCATAATGTTTAAAGATTTCCAAAGAACATTTTATGTTACTTTTTTTACACATTAAAGATTAGAATACCAAGTCACAGAAGCCGAGTCTCATTTATCGTGACGAAAGAACATGCTAAGCAATCAGCAAGAGTAACCTAACCACTTCCAGCTGCTGGCGAGGCATAAATCTAAAAAAAAAATGATTACACCTTATACTTCCTGTCAATTGCCAATTGTTTGCAAATATTACATTAATTCAAATATCCATCGAGATGTCTGGCAAAGGCCAAGGATCTGGGACCGAGACGGAGTGAGAGATGGTGACGGTGCTTGACTGATGGTGACGGTGCTTGACTGGTGGTGGCGGTGCTTGACTGGTGGTGGCGGTGCTTGACTGGTGGTGGCGGTGCTTGACTGGCAATGAACACACTGTGGCCTTTGCAGTCTAAGTATGTTGACTCAGCACGTCCTCCTAAGGTTCCCCAACGTTAAAAAAATGTCGTACTAATGTGCCCTTATCCTAACCGACCAGAGGACATAAAACAAAGCGCAACAGTATGTCAATTTCGCGAGCCGCTTCCATTTTCTAGTACAACCATTTTTGGCCTTAGGTAGAGTATACGTCAAAATGCGACGCGCCATTAGGAGGACGCGTTGGTTGACAATCAGAAAGAATTTTTACTGTGTCCCTCACTGTGTGGTGTTTACACCATGGCCTTCACCGTGAGCGCGTGACTGGCCCTGCACAGTACTAACGCCCCACCCAAACACACACCTCACCTACACTACCTAATAAATAAATAACGAATGAGATAGGGAAAGCCGCTCCAGAAACCTCCTCACCACAATGACCAAGTAGAGAATATATTACTAAAAAAGAATGAAATGGACTGCAATTTTTAACGACCTTTTGGACCGTAACATCACTAAAGACAATTGTCAAATCACTAAGCATGTTGTGGCTCTTCTTGGGACCCCCAGGTGTTGGTTGCTCTTGATTCTCCCCTCACTGACGTCGAATTTCCTTTTCTCTCATCCTTCCTTCCTTCCCTCTCCATAAGGAATGTACGAGCCAGAAGAAGACGTTTCTTATTGTTAAGAAATTATATACATTCCTTAAATGAAAACAAAAGCAATATACCAATATGTTTCAGTATATACTTTATGTCATATATACTGAACATATGTTGATGCTTTATGTTGTCAGTGCTATGATCATCGTGTCAGTGTGTTCATATTGTTATGAACCTCTCCTCAGTGTTCATATTGTTATGAACCTCTCCTCAGAGTGTTCATATTGTTATGAACCTCTCCTCAGTGTTCATATTGTTATGAACCTCTCCTCAGTGTTCATATTGTTATGAACCTCTCCTCAGAGTGTTCATATTGTTATGAACCTCTCCTCAGTGTTCATATTGTTATGAACCTCACCTCAGAGTGTTCATATTGTTATGAACCTCTCCTCAGAGTGTTCATATTGTTATGAACCTCTCCTCAGTGTTCATATTGTTATGAACCTCTCCTCAGTGGTGCTGGGTAACACTGCTTTCTAAAATCACGTTCATTGTCCTTCCTTGTGTATGACCCTGACACATCACCTACTGTCCCGAGCTGTACACACCAAACGCTGACATTACTCTCGTCCTTTGTGAACTCTGGTGGCTTCCCTGGTATTTTCTTGTTAATACTGAAGATTCCTGCAGCCTTATATTTTGAACTAATGCTCAAAATGCAGAGAATATGCTTGTTTGTGTTCGAGAACATATTCAAACCATCGGGAGTGGCTGTATATTATTTGTTTATTCCTTGTTAATAAATATGTAATATATGTTTTTTTAATTTTCTTAAATTATGACCGTCAGTTTAATGTCTTGTGTTTCATAATGGTTTTCTGATTCATAATAATCAAGCGAATGCTTAGACAAATAACAACGCAGGTTGAGGTGCAGATAGTTACTATAAGACTCGCCTGAGCGGGACTCACCCAGCAGCTGAAGCTCTACTAATACCAAATTACCTTTCCAGGTCTTGAGGACGCCACCAGCGCCCCCGCCCCCTATGTCCCCACTGACAGCCCCCAGTACCAACCTTCCCCACAGCCGTACCCACAACCCAGCCCACAGCCCTACCCACAACCCCCACTTGCTCCATCTTTCCAGTCTAATGGCTTTGGCAACCAAAATGCGTTCAGTAGTTTTAGCTCCTCATCCTCTGCCTCCGAGAGCAGCAGCTCCAGTAGCTCTAGTGAGGCCAATTACAGTAGCTTTAATGTGAAGAATGGCTTATTTGAGCAGCCCTCCCCCACCCCTACAGTCTCCCGCTCTTACCCTCCCCCACTTTATCCCGGAGCATCAGGGGCGACTGACAACCAGTACAAGTCGGCACAAGATGTGTGGACGTCGCAGTACCTCCAGAACATCACAAACCAGCTCTACAATTCCTTCTCCAATTCCTCCAGCTCCAGCAACGACTATAGTTACCTCGGCAATACCAATAACAACGACAACTTCGTCAACTTTCCCTTCGTACTTATCCCCATCAACACCTTCAGGGACCTTCAGAAGTCTGGCGCCATCGATGACGATGTACAGAGTTATGGGGCCTTCGTGCAACCCCAACAAGCTCAACAGCAAATATCTCGTTACCTGAATGAACAGCAGCAGCAACAACAGTATCAACAACAGCAGCAGCAGCAACAACAATATCAACAAGAGCAGCAGCAGCAACAACAATATCAACAACAGCAGCAGCAGCAAGCTTTTACGGCATTCAACTCATCAAAAAGTTCTTCGGAGGAAGCAGCATACAACTCACAAGCCAGCAACTTGTATAACTATCAGAACGGTGGTCTGGGGCAGCAAGGGTACCCGGGGAACCAACAAGCTGCACAACAGAGTTACCAGAGTCAACAGTCCTCCCAATCCTCAAAGAAGAGCAGCAGCAGTTCAAGTAGCAGCGGTTCCAGTTTCTCTTCCTTTGGTAACCTGGGAGGCTCAGTGCCAATTCCTTCTACCACCTACAACGCTCCTGCGAGTCAGTCTAGGGTTCCAAACACTAATTATGGCCCACCAAAACCAGCACAGCCTACATATAGCCCACCCAGACCCACTCAGCCTGCATACAGCCCACCCAGACCCACTCAGCCTGCATACAGCCCACCCAGACCCACTCAGCCTGCATACAGCCCACCCAGACCCACTCAGCCTGCATACAGCCCACCCAGACCCACTCAGCCTGCATACAGCCCACCCAGACCCACTCAGCCTGCATACAGCCCACCCAGACCCACTCAGCCAGCTTACAGCCCACCCAGAACCACTCAACCCTCTTACAGACCACCGAGACCCACATATAACCCACCTAAGCCTCCTCCACCTAGCCCTTACCCATCACCAAGCTCATACCCATCTCCTACCCCATACCCATCTCCTAGTCCATACCCATCAAACGTAGGCAACTCTGTGTCCTACTCCTCCCAAAACTCTCAGTCAGCAGAACAATCCAAATCTTCTCAACAAAAGGACTCGTCCTCCAGCAGTGCCAGCTACAATAACGGTGGAGCGTCACTGAGTTATCAGTCGTCTTCCTCTAAGGCCGCTAACGAAGCAAAGAAAGCTCAGTCGTCGTCCTCTTCCAAATATATTGTAAATAATGGAGGAAACAGAGGCTCGGCTCAGCAGTACGCATCAAGTTCTAAGGCCTCATCAGCATCGTCTGCTGCTTCATCCTCGCAAAAATCTTTCAGCAGCTTCAGTGGCGCCGGAGGTTTTGGCTCAGGTGGTATCAGCTACTCGTCTCAAAACCCTTATCCCTCGCCCAGCCCTTATCCATCTCCAAACCCCTACCCAACCTCAAGTCCTTACCCATCTCCTACCCCATACACATCTCCTAGCCCTTACCCATCTCCTAGCCCTTACCCATCTCCTAGCCCTTACCCATCTCCTAGCCCTTACCCATCTTCTAGCCCTTACCCCTCCCCTAGACCTTACCTATCTCCTAAACCTAATCCGTCTCCTAGCCCTTACCCATCTCCTAGCCCATACCCATCTCCTACCCATTACCCATCTCCTAGCCCATACCCATCTCCTACCCATTACCCATCTCCTAGCCCATACCCATCTCCTACCCAATACCCATCTCCTACCCAGTACCCATCTCCTACCCCATACCCATCTCCTAGTCCATACCCATCAAACGTAGGCAACTCTGTGTCCTACTCCTCCCAAAACTCTCAGTCAGCAGAACAATCCAAATCCTCTCAACAAAAGGACTCGTCCTCCAGCAGTGCCAGCTACAATAACGGTGGAGCGTCACTGAGTTATCAGTCGTCTTCCTCTAAGGCCGCTAACGAAGCAAAGAAAGCTCAGTCGTCGTCCTCTTCTAAATATATCGTAAATAATGGAGGAAACAGAGGCTCGGCTCAGCAGTACGCATCAAGTTCTAAGGCATCATCAGCATCGTCTGCTGCTTCATCCTCGCAAAAATCTTTCAGCAGCTTCAGTGGCGCCGGAGGCTTTGGCTCAGGTGGTATCAGCTACTCGTCTCCAAGCCCTTATCCATCTCCGAACCCTTACCCAACCTCAAGCCCTTACCCATCTCCACGCCCGTATCATTTGCCTAGCACTTACCCATCACCTAAAACCACTCCAAGGCCATACTCCTCACCTAGCCCATATCAATCTTCTAGCACTTACCCTTCACCAAGCCCCTACCCTGCTCCTAGCCCTTACCCATCTCCTAACCCTTACCCATCTAGCACATACCCATCTCCTAGCCCTTACCCATCTCCTAACCCTTACCCATCTCCTAACCCTTATCCATCTCCTAGCCCATACCCATCTCCTAGCCCATACCCATCAAATTCAGGCAACTCTGTGTCCTACTCCTCCCAAAACTCTCAGTCAGCAGAACAGTCCAAATCTTCTCAACAAAAGGACTCGTCCTCCAGCAGTGCCAGCTACAATAACGGTGGAGCGTCACTGAGTTATCAGTCGTCTTCCTCTAAGGCCGCTAACGAAGCAAAGAAAGCTCAGTCGTCGTCCTCTTCTAAATATATTGTAAATAATGGAGGAAACAGAGGCTCGGCTCAGCAGTACGCATCAAGTTCTAAGGCCTCATCAGCATCGTCTGCTGCTTCATCCTCGCAAAAATCTTTCAGCAGCTTCAGTGGCGCCGGAGGTTTTGGCTCAGGTGGTATCAGCTACTCGTCTCCAAGCCCTTATCCCGCGCCCAGCCCTTATCCATCTCCGAACTCCTACCCAACCTCAAGTCCTTACCCATCTCCAACCCCATACCCATCTCCTAGCCCTTATCCATCTCCCAGCCCTTACCCATCACCTAGCCCTTACCCCTCCCCTAAACCTTTCCAATCTCCTAGACCTAAACCATCTCCTAGCCCTAACACATCTCCTAGGCCATACCCATCTCCTAACTCTTACCCATCTCCTAACCCTTATTATCCGTCTCCTAGCCCATATCCATCAAATGCAGGCAACTCTGTGTCCTACTCCTCCCAAAACTCTCAGTCAGCAGAACAATCCAAATCTTCTCAACAAAAGGACTTGTCCTCCAGCAGTGCCAGCTACAATAACGGTGGAGCGTCACTGAGTTATCAGTCGTCTTCCTCTAAGGCCGCTAACGAAGCAAAGAAAGCTCAGTCGTCGTCCTCTTCCAAATATATCGTAAATAATGGAGGAAACAGAGGCTCGGCTCAGCACTTCGCATCAAGTTCTAAGGCATCATCAGCATCGTCTGCTGCTTCATCCTCGCAAAAATCTTTCAGCAGCTTCAGTGGCGCCGGAGGCTTTGGCTCAGGTGGTATCAGCTACTCCCAGGGTGGATTTCCCTTAACGGTGTCGCCGGATGCCATACCCTTCTCATCAACAGTTTCATCTGTTTATGTTCCTCCACCCACCCCTGGCATATATAATAACGTTGTTTCAAATAACTTCAAGCCTCAGCCTTCCTATAATGAGGGTTTCGATTCAAATGAGTTTGATGGCGGCTTCTCGCCGCCCGCAGCAGAACCAACTGCCAACATGGCCGGGTGGATCCCTCTAGACAACAACTATCAACCTTTGTCCTCTTCTCAGTTGTCCTTCTCTAAGTCTCAGCCACAGACTTATCAAAGCAGTAATGGCGACAACTCAAACGGAGCTAGCTTTTCTTACTCATCAAGCAAGAACTCTCAAGACCATAGTAGTTCCCAGCAGAGTGAGCAGTTTAGTTCATCGTGGAGTAGCTCGGCACCTCAACAGACCTACATCCCAGGTGGTATCCAGTATTAAGGCAATAAAGACCACAATGACAGCCAACCTGGACCGCACACCACCCTCGAGAACCGACATAATGCTCACGATATTCATGCAACAGTTTTAACGTTCTTGCTCACTCATACCAAGCGCACTTGCTCAGTGTTTGTGTGCAGCTTCGGTTTTTGGCCTATGAAACTATATGCATTTATAATGATTAATATATATTATTTAATTTCTAGGAATCAAATAACAGATGTTTAATGTATAATTTATAATAAATATTTTATTGCTTGATGATTGCCTGTTTTGCACTAGAATGAAGCTTTTATACAGCAGACAGTTACCAAGCCTGGTTCACAACACGGTAACTTGCTGCAGTGGTAACTTGCCTTAAATGCTGTACAGCGAAAGGCTTACAAGGTAGACGCAATTAACAAGCCTAGCATCCAATGCAGGGGTGGATAATGGTACCTAGCCTCAACACTGTGCAACACTCATAAACCATTGCCCTCACAACGTATGTTAACACAACTGGTCTCTGAAGTCATTCATTTTCCGCTTGTAAATACACTGCTTTGAGATACGTGTAATCCTATGTTGATCTTTGTTTCAGTTCTATTTTCAAACTGTACATTTAGGTTGTACTATGTAGTAGGTGATGCTGCAGGTTTGTGTCCTAGTCAACTTTACTGCTTAGTCTGAAAATTGTATTTTAAGATTTTAATAAATGTAGATGAATCTATTTAATATTTTTATGATACAAACTTACTAAATATACTGTAAACACTTGGTTATATTACTTGAACAAATATGTATTAAGATACTCTTCAGTATTATTAGTTGGTATATCTTTCAACTTTAATATCCATTGCATAATTATAAGAATATTTTTGTAAGTAAATGCTTGTAATATACAGTTTGTCTTATTTTCCCTATCCACAATAATTGGTGAATTGTGCAGCAAATAAAAAACAAATTATAAATATTGAAATTTATGAAAAAAAGTAATTAGCAAATTATGTGCCCAGCCGTGAAGACTATGTAGCATCAAGTTAAACTTAATAGCTATTCCAGAAATATAATAAGCACATTGAGAGCTTTCAAATTTATTCTATATGTGGGAAAATTGTGGGGATTGATTAATAAGGAGAACTAATAGGGACCTGTACTGTACTAAATTTAAAAAATTACTGTATGCAAAATTAATTCAACTAAAGTCCCTAACTCTAGGGTCGTAAATCCTAGCTCCTCTTTTCCTAATGACAGAATTAGTTTTTCACAGAATTAGTTTTTCAATTAGTCAGAAGTTTTCCTAATTACAGCCACCGGGATTGCTGGCCTGACCGCCAGGGGGTCAAGACGTGGTTGCCAAGCGCTCCCCAGTCGTTGCTAAGCGTTCTGTGAGGGAGGGTGGTGGTGTTGCGTCGGCGCTATTGGTACCCCCCCCCCCCTATTTGCCGCTCTGAGACCTTGGGTCTGGAATTTTCTGGACGTGCGTCTTACCTAGCCCTTGAGATTGTCCTGTTGGATGTGTTGCGTGTGCGTGTTGCCGATGTGTATGAGCTCCAACTGTTGTCCACCCATCGGGCACTTGTTAAGTTTAACTCTGCTGCTGTTTATAGAGACTTTGTGGCCCGTTACGATTGGCGCTCTCTTCCTCTCCCTGGGGACGGTGGTACCGTCACTAACTCTGACCGGTGTTGTTCGGTGACGTATGTGGCCCTGCATGGTGTGCCATTTGAATTCACGGAGGCTTTGCTTCGACGGTATTCTGTTGCCTTTGCTGTTTCTGCAGGCTCCCTCACCTGTGTTGGACCCTTCTGCTCCTACGGCCGCACCTGTTCCTTCTCCTGTCTCCTCTGTGGGTGGCGGTCTTGTCCCCTGTGTTGTTGAGGCTGACATTCTGCGGGGTCGTGCTACCCCGGTTGGGGGGCAGTCTACCGCTGGCTCTTCTCGGGTAGCTCCTGCAGGGGGTGACAGCTCCGATGATCAACGGCCTGTCCCCAAGCGTTCACGCACGGATGCGGGTGCTTTGCCTCCTCGATCGTGGGCAGAGGAATGTGAGGATGCGGCGAGTGTCGATGTTTCTTCTGAGAGCTGTTCCTCTGTGGAGTGCGAGGATGTTGCGTCTGGTGCTGGTGTGGGTCCGGTGGATGGTGAGGGCCCTGATGTGGCTTCTGCTGTGGGGGTGGGGGCCGGTGTGGGGCCGGTACCTCTTGCTTCGGGTGCGTCGCCCGCGTCGGATGGTTCTGGTTCCCCGTGGGGGGTGGTTTCCCCTTGCGGCGTTGAGAGTGGATGTGGCGACCTGGTGATGGTCTTGAAGAAAGCTGCGTGCTCTGAGGGTTCCGTGTCCCCTCTCCCGTCCTGTTATGTTGGCGACGGTTCTGCCGCCCCACACGTCTCCGGCCGTTTCTTCGGTGTCTCCTGCTTTGTCGGGGGTGGTGTTGCCACCTTGGCAGCCTCCGCCCGCTATTCCGGTGTTTCCTGCTTCCTCGGCGGTGGTGTCCATGCCGCCTAAGTTGGGTTCTTCGTCTTTTGGTCTTTTGTGTACTGTGGTTGGGCGCGACCGCTTCCGTCGGATGTGGAGATTCCCGAGTATATGGAGTACCCGTAGTGTCGTGAGGGCCACTCACCTACTGAACTGGAGTATTTAATATGGGAGGCTTATAAACGGAAGTATCCACCGTGGCAGTTTCCTGAGAAATATCCTCCTCGTTGACTGTTGTGTGTTGTGGGGTTACTTGCGCCTGGGTGCGTGGGTGTGGGGTGGGGTTGCGTGTGTGTGTCTGGGTCGGGGGGGGGGGGTTGTTTTCCAGTTCCTGCGTGTTCCGGTTGTTTGTCTCTTTCTGTATATGTTCTGTGTGGTTTTATATTTCCAGCTGTGTGTGTAGTATGTGTGGCTGGTGTGCTATTGTGCTGCTGTAGTAGTGCGTTTAGTGTGGTGGTGGTATATATTTTGTACTTGTGGTCTTAAGGCCTTTTGGTCGTTTGCATAGTTTTTGTGCCTTTTTTTATTTATTTTATTTTTTTTATTTTTTTTATTTTTTGTACTTACGGTTCCCTGTGTGGTTCTGTTTTTTATTAATGCCTTGTGCTGCTTTTAGCTTGTCTTCTGTGCCCGTATTGGGGTTTGTTATATGCTTTGTATCTTGTATGTTTCACTTTTGATTATTATGTTTTTTTCTTTGCCTGTTGTGTTCCTGTATCCTGTTGTGTATCATGTATGTACTCATGTTTTCTTGTATGTAGCTTTTCTGTTTGTACTTTGTGGTTTTCTTTTATAAATAAATAAATAAATAAAAATTACAGCCCCCCGGCTGTAAGGGGAAGGTGGGGTCCCTAAGGGTGAATGGAGAAGTTGATTGAAGATCCACAATCCACCTGCAGACAATTCAACACATCAGCTTGTATTGTTAATACAAGGATAAGGTTTAATAAACTCAGTTCTATAACTGAATACGGGTTCTGTTTAAATCGAGTATCTAATGTCGGAAAATCCGACACCATTTAATATATCATACAGACAGATAAGAGCTGTGTTGTATAAACAAGTTACCCATAGAAAACGTAACTTGTAGTGGAATTACCGTCTATAGAAAACGGGATATCATCACCACATACTATTATAATTCACCAGCTATTCTGCTGGGAATTGTTCTTAAATACATTAGTCTTTGGACTTTACCATCATAAAAACATCTTATATAAATTAACTTAATTATCAATATTAAAGTAGAGTAAATGTGACCCTTCTATCACTTTCTGAAATCTGGACAAAGTAGGCCAGGCGTCAGGGAGGAAGGAGGGAGCCATTGTTGTGTCACCTCCGAGACGTGTGGAGCAAATTCGGCTCCTATCATTCTGGACAATGTCGGCCAGTAACGTCAATAGGATGGAGTGTTAAACAGCCATTGTTTATAACGAGACCAGAGGCTCACACGGGAGCAAATTCGGCTCCTGTTAATTTTACTTGGACGTAGTGTTATGGAAACCAAAGGTACCATCTCCAACACGATGTCTACAATTCAAGTTAAGTCTATCCGAAACCCGTTTATCATTCATTTATGGCCATTAATGTCAGGATATAGGGTGACCCGGTTAGATCGCGAAATCGCCTCAAACTAAAGGTAATTAAGCCAGGTCTCAATGTTCCATGTACTGTATAGTGTTTTCTCTGATATAGCTTGTCATATATAGGATTCTGGCTTCACAGCTAGCGCACTTTTGACAGGTCAAGACGAGGATGCAAGATTTTGTGCACCAGTTACTGGGTGATATGGAAGCTACCTCAAAGAGGATAATTTGGTGTCTACACCCTAGTTATACCTGGTGGACTAACCTGCTGTACTATAAGATAAGGAACCTCATCAATGTATGTAGCTATTACTGTAGTTTGATTGGCTGCATATATATTAATTTAATAACCCCCCCTAATGTGTAGAGGATCGATTTGTGAGATTAAGAGATTATTGCAGAAATACAGTCCACTTATCATTATACAAATTGCTATCGAAGTATATAAATTAACGTAAATATAAATTCATATAAATTAAATAAATATAAATCTCACAGGTCGGTTCCCACATGTAGTACCCGACGTCGAGAGCGAGGGGAACCTTTTATTGTCAATCCCCCTTTCGTCACTGAACCCGATCTCGACGGACTGTCGGTTCTTAAAGTGGCGTTTGTGGGGCGTATACTCACGACGCACCCCTAGGAGGCCCCGGCATGATCGGCGATAGCTTCTTGTTGGGTGTCCTGCCTCTAATTGTGGCTCCATGGTGGGTGTGGGGGCACATTCGTGAATGAATATTCCTTTTCGTAATGATGATAACCCCTGTTTCGACTGTTTCTGCTTTACCTTCTCAGGCTCGTGGGGTGGGCGACCAAGCCCCCGAGTCGGTCCGTGTTGGAAGACCGGGCTCTGTAGCCTCCACGCCTCCCCTCGGCTCCCCTCCCTCCTCTGTGGTTGGGTCGAGCCCCAGCCCCCAATGGTGACTACCTCGTCCCCTGCCGCGGCTCCTTCTCTAGTTGTAACTACTGTGCCTTTTAACCCCTCTCTCTCTGGGGGTTCTCACCGCCGTCTTCGTCACGGCCGCCCTCGCTCGATTCCTTCCCGTTCTGATACCTATCAAGTTTTGTTTGGTCCCTCTTCGTGGGCCAAATATTTTAATCTCCTCCTTCTTGATTCTGCGCCTGCTAACGATTTCTCCCTCCATAGACATCTCGTTGATTCCGTGGATGCCTCCATTACTTTCAATCCCACTTGTCTCGGTACACGTGTCGTTGCTGCTCCTTCTCAGGATGCAGCTTCCCGCTTGGCTGCCTTATCCTGCCTTGGCGAGACCCCTGTTCGGGTCTCAAAGACCCCCCTCCCCGCTCAGCTCGTTGTCGCCGTGTGGGGGCTTAGTGGGCGGCTGCCGGAGTGTGATGCTCCTTGGGACAGTCCTCTGTCCTTTTCTAGCCTCGTGCTCCTGCTGCCGTCCTCTCCAATTCTGCTGGGCACCTTTTCCTTTTCCTTCTGTTTCGTTTTTCTCCCCCTCTTTTCCTATCTGCTTGCCGTTTCCTGCCGACCTTTTGCTTGTTCTGGTTCTTCCCTTGAACTTCTTCTATTTTGACGCCCGGGTGCTTGAGGAGGCATACTCTTGCACCCGTAGAACTGTAGTACCCGACGTCGAGAGCGAGGGGAACCTTTTATTGTCAATCACCCTTTCGTCACTGAACTCGACGGACTGTCGGTTT